TGACAATTATTGACGCACTCTCTGTATGCAAGTAAAACTCATCAAATTGAATACAAAATTTCTCTACCATTTCGCAAACAACCATGTCAAATTTCAAGTTATTAATTAAAGAAATTTCTGAATAATCACACGCGATATAGCAGATGAACTGTAATAGCGACCTCTGCCGTCGTTTGTTTGTACATTAGGTCGAACTGAAAAAGAATCCTTTATCATTTTGCGAGTGACCACATAGATTTTCAATTATTAATTAAAAATAGATTGATACATGACTGTGCGTGATAATCCTGGGTTAAGTTTGCCAAGTTGACGTAGGAAGGCCAGTTCTACGTGACTCCAGGGATACGTTATTCACATGCTTTTTTTTAGTATCTATCTTGAGAAGAACAGTAGGTATAAAATATCACGAAAATATCTTTTCCATGAGTTTCATTAAAATCGGAATAATATTATAGATAAAAAATATAAAAAGCTAGTAGCGGTAAAGTAAATGTTTGAACCTTTCGAAATTTTGTATTAATATTTTCCGTCGTGAGTAAATAAAGTTAGGTAACGTGTTACTAATTAAAATAAAGTTTCTTGCAAGTATACAATATATTGTTTCAAATAGTAAAAGCAATTTCCATTTATAAAATGATTGAAATGGAGTATAGGGACATACGAGATAAAATTGGTTCTTAATTAAAAGCCAGCAGAAGGACTGTGGAGATCTCTCGCAGAATATTCGGAACTACTAACCAGGATACATATTTTACATGAGACCTTTTTAACCTTTTTACAAGACAAAGTACACGATTACAGAATCGTGACAAGCATTAACACATAGAAGAAAGCTACTTCTGTCTATTTGTAGAGTAAGTCACAACATTTAGTTGGCTGAAAGGTTATAACTTCGAAATTCTGAAATATGAGTCCTCTAGTCCCGGTCTTCTCTACATGCTGACTCGTCGAGCTGACATCTCTCGAGCAAGCAAAGAGACGATGATAGATCAAGGAAGATTCGTTTTGATCGGCGGTATTAGAGCATTTGTCAGTCATTCGAATGTTAGCGGGAGCGCAGTTAGCCGAGGGGGCCGGTATACTTATTAGCGCAGCCACCCGCGCCTCTATGCATGGCGCTCTGCCAACTAGTTACGAACCTGACTCAAATAAGGGTGAAGTCCGAGCGCGTACTCGAACCCGGAAACCGGGCTATGCATACTTAGTGCCCTGACGTCGTCGACGGTGAGGCCCATCGGGTTAGGAAGGAATGTCAGGCAGGTAGACTGTGGAAAAAAGAACCGAATAAGAGAAAGGGAAAAATGGGCTTCGCGAAATCGATGCCGCGCGGAACGACGATGATGACAGGATCGATTTTATTTTATCACGCTGACCTATATCCATCGCATAAACTTCTGTGGTGATGATTATTTCACAGGCTGTTCGAAAATGTGAGCTAATGTCAAAACTTGACGAACGATTTAAACTTTAGCGAGGAGAATAGACATTTACGTGTCTACAAGTGAAATATACATATAAATCAAATATAAATAAAAATCATCTCTCTCTCTCTCTCTCTCTCTCTCACACACACACACACACACACACTCTCTCTCTCTCTCTCTCTTTCTCGCTCGCTCTCGTACGCTTCTCTCTCCCTCTCCCCCTTATCTATTTCTCCCTCTCTTTCTTACTTTAAATAAAATCTCTCTTTCCATTTTTCTATCTTTCTTTCTTTACGAGAAATCCAATAGTACAAACTAATAATAATTATTAAAAATTATTACAAATTATTAAAGGAAATTATGAAAATTGAAGATTATTAAGCTTATTCAAGGATAATTGAAGGATAACTATACATTCGATGAGTATCATCAAAATAAAAGTAGCTATATTGAAATGTCTGCTAAAATATTCGATTTTTAATCAATTCTTCTGAAGAAAGCTAATCCTGGGCGAGTGATATTGGAGAAAGCTGAAAAGAAGGTAAAATGATGCGCACATGTACTAAAAAAAAAAATAAATAAAAATAATATTTATTCAGTACGTACTAATAACATATTTATTTATAGTAGTATAAAATATTTTAATATAAAATATTTTTCATATAAGAAAATGTACATTATCTTAAAATTTACCTTGCCATAAAAGGAATTATTTATTCTGCTTAATTTAAAAAATATGTGTGTGTGTGTGTTATTAGTATCTAGTGAATCAATATTTTTAATTTGTTAGATGTTTTTTCTCTCACAATGTATATGAAGAGAATACTGCAGTAAAAGTTACAACAAAATTTTTTAAATTTGAACCATACAGAATTACAATCAAAATTGCAATATATTTATTGAAAAATGCACTATGCACATTCGGTTTTTTATTACAAAATTATTGCAATTACTTAAATTTTTTTTTATAACGTATCGTTCGTACAAATAACGTTCGTTATATCGTCACGAATTTTCTATTTCTACAACAATTTATACTAAAATTTCAGCATCACCAAGCTTTTCCAATAATTGTAAAAGGAGATGTGATTTTAACGTAATTTTTGTTATAACATTTCCACGGCGTGCAATTGATTGAAGATTTGTCGCGTTTCGAATTCCATGCTACAAATGAAAAATGAAAAATCCGCACGGTCTTCGCGAACGAGGCAATGCATCACCGGGCTCGGGGAATTAATGCGACTGTGCGAACGCACGCAGGAACGTAACGCTCGCTCCTTAACTCGGGTTCAATTGTTACGAGAATTCGCGGTGGAAATCAAAGACATCAAAGCGACAATCGATGTCAGTGAGCCGGCTGTGCGACTGATGGGGTACCCGCGGCCGTGATGAAATATGGAAGAAGCTTTTGCACTCTCTCGCTTTGTCCGGCGCTCGTTAAAAAGCGGGCGCAATCGGGATGAAGCTGTGCTTTTTATGGCCAACCGCGGCCTTCTTATCTGCGTCGCCGCGGTTTATTGTTGGGAATAAAGATTAGCTCTGGATAGTTATAATGTAATATAACCGGTCGTGTATGTAAATGCGGGTTTATTTACGTCACGCGCCTCTTGTAAGTCACCCGGCCCGTATTCGAGTACTCCCGCCTACACACACACACACACACACACACACACACACACACACACGTTCACACGTTTACACACATTCGCGCTGAAAGTTTATTGCTTTTTCTTGTATTATTGCAGCTGCGTTATTCCGCATGAATTAACAATTAATTATACCCTTTATGTAACTCGTTTGGGACGCGCGCGCGCACGATTACATCGATTTATCGCTGTACTGTTCGCGTTCTCACAGCGAACCCCCTCATACAACGACGGACACGAAAATAATAACACCGCGCACAATGACGCATGTCAAAAAATTACCATCGATATAATAAACGGATTGTTTCCTCCCGGTGCCCCCGAATAATTGGCACGGCCGACAAATCACGGCCGGCACGCGCGACTACGACGTTTTCCCGGCAATTCCGCGCATTCCAAATAAACTCGTACAAACCACCGCAATTTCCGGTACGCGTAAAACTGCAGTCGATATAGTCGTGCATCTCGTGCACCGCGCGCAAAAAAAAAAAACACAAAAACGGCTGCGATGTAACTTGCATGGCCGGAATGAAGGAGAGGAGGGGGTACGCCTTTTCCCACTTTTTCTTACCCCCGTTTCTTCCTTGGTCCGTGTTTTTGACCTCCGCTCCGTCGCGAATTTTTTCCCACGTCGAGCGCGGAAGTCATCGCGATCCCCTTTGATCCTCTGTGCCCGGATTGTTTGAAGAGAATGTCGTATTTTTCCTATTTAATTGAATTTTCCTATTTATGTATTTTCATCGTGTATCTCTCTCTCTCTCTCTCTCTCTCTCTCTCTCTCTCTCTCTCTCTCTCTCT